ACACCCTTATAAGGAGTGCTTCGTTCTCCTTATGGTTTTAAAACGTGTCTAGGGTTCCACACCCTTATAAGGAATGTTTTGATCTCCTCGTTCATCTCTCACGATTTTAAAGCGCTTCTAGGGTTCCACCATTCCCCTCGTTTCGTCTAGGATTCTACACCCTTATAAGGAGTGCTTCGTTCTCCTTATGGTTTTAAAACGTGTCTAGGGTTTCACACCCTTATAAGAAATGTTTCGCTCTCCTCGTTCCCCTCTCACGGTTTTAAAACGCATCTAGGGTTCCACTGTTCCCCTCGTTCCCCTCTCACGGTTTTAAAACACGTATAGGGTTCCACTGTTTCCCTTATTCCGTCTAGGATTCCACACTCTTATAAGGAATGCTTTGTTCCTCTCGTTCCCCTCTCCAACTAATGTGGGATCTCACGGTTTTAAAACGCGTCTACTGGGGAGAGGTTTCCACACCCTTATAAGGAACCTCCTTGGGGGCAACGTCTTTGTTGACACACCATCCGATGTCTGTCTCTGATACCATTTGTAACAACTCAATGTCTCGTGATTTTAAAATGCGTAAACTAGTGAGAGGTTTTTACACTTTTATAAAAATTGTTTCGTTTTTTCTCTCCAACTAACGTGGGATCTCATATAGTGTCTCATACACACTCGACTTATACCACTTCTGAACTTATTAGATATAAAATTAAAATTTTAAAATTTTATTGGATATAAAATTCAAATAAATCGGCTGATTTTTAAAATATTTGAATATTTCTTATACTTGTTATAAATTAACATTAATACTAATTTTCATATGATTTAAAGAATTTTTGAATGATTAGTGTATGTTATTTAGTGTGATTTTAGAACCATAAAATTTATTAAAAAAAAGAATTACATTTGAGAAATAAAGAATTAAAAAAAAAAAAAAGGGGATAAAATTAAAAATCTATGCCACTATGTTTCTTCCAGTTTTTTTTGCCGCCATTTCAACTGCTTACCAGATCAAACCATTCTAGGGTTTCGCATTTGGCGGGGAAGGAAAAGCGGACCGAGATAGCATGGTTTGACAGAGAGATTGAAGGAGATAGAATGACGAACAAATTAATGAATCAGATGGGATTGCACAAATCGAAAACTAATATTTTCGCAGAGCGAATTATTAACACAGCTAAGGTAATGATTGAACTTCGTGTATCTTCTTCATTAATTCCTCGATTTATTCGTCCACTTCGTGTTTAATACGCCATAGGAACCGATTTGAAGCTTTCAATTATGTAGTTTAGGCTAACTTCTTTTTTCAGTTTCTCGATTGACCGCTAATTGGAATTTCTTTACGTAGAAATTGAACAATGGCAATGGTTCTTAATTTAGACTTGGTTCATAATGTCATGTATTGAACGGGAGTTTCTCTTTTGAAATATTTTTCCAGGCTTGTTCTCTGTTCTTGGTTGGATTAGTTTTCGGTCCTGTAGCCGGTTTTAGCCTATAGAAAATTAAAAATTGCAGTATTGGTTTATTTAATTTGTTTCAGGAAGCTTTATCCTTAACTGAATTTGAGTTGATGGAGTTATTGGACGTGGGATTGTTGGAAGTTGCAGCAGCAGTTGCGCACATTATTGAAATTGCTTCTCCTCCTTATCAGACGGTAAGAAATCAGTTGCTTCTATTTATTGATTGTCAAGCTCATTATACTTGTCTAAGAGGATTCTTTTTTGTTTATGCTTTCCACATCCCTGACTTCTGTTGCTTTTAGAGGTGATGATCTAGTTGCATCAATTGGTGCTTTCTCTAATGGATCAAAGACTTCAAAACGAGCATTTAACTGGCCATCTTTCTACATGTTTAAAAGGTTTAGACGAGGCCTTATTTGGTGGAATCCCATTTGGTGTCTTGACAGAGCTTGTTGGTCCAGCTTGAATTGGCCAAACGCAAGTGTGATTCTTTCCTAGTTTTCGGGTTTGTTAATTATCTTTTTGTTATATCAGAAAATTTTCGTTGATGGGATTGGAGTATTAATTGGAATATATGGTTGCTTAAGTTGAAGCATGTTCAACTACTTTCTGCTGACATGCGACTTTTTCTGGTTGTTGAATTTCAGTTTTGCTTGAAACTCTCTTTATTGGCTGCTCTGCCACCGAGCTATGGAAGTTTAGATGGCAGAGTAATATATATTGATGTAGAATCTAAGTTTAGTTCCAGAAGGTCTTTTAATTATACCATGCTACTGGTTGTTTACTCATTATATTTGTGTAATGGGCGCATGACTTTTTTGGTTTTTCAACTCCGTCTCTCTCGGCAGGATGATTGAAATTGACATGAGAAGCTTTCCTGATGTATTGGAAATGAAGGACATAGCACAAGAGGTATCAAACTGATATATATTCTCTTCCTTTCAAATTTTAATTTAAAATGCATAAGATGGATCATTCTCAATTTTCATTCCAGATGGCTGGTTTGTCTTGCCACCTGCTTCACTTTCTGAATTCAATGAGAGGTTTGGTTCAAAGTCAAATAAATGTCATTTGGCCTAGACATGTCAATGATTTGAGAAAATGAAATGCTAAGGATAACACATTTAATCTACAAAATTTAGCAGAATATTTAGACGCATGTAATGCAGTTCGAGGTATGTACATATTAGCTCAATTGCAATGATTTACCTGCAATGGCATGGAATATTCAAATAGAACACAATTCAGGTGCTTGTTAGGACTGGGATTTCGTGGACTATCCATATATAGCCTATAGATAATCATCAATCATTGGTTAGAATAATGAAGATTGTAAACGGAAAAGAAAAATGAATGCTGAACTTACTATATATTTTTAGAGTTTATTCCCAACCAATGTCTGATGTCAAGTACCAGAGCGTTTATCTGATCACCTTCTGTATAGACAGGCATAAGTTTGCAACTCAAATGTGACTGGAGATTAAATGAAATGCAGTTATATGCATTCGTTTAAGTTATAGCAATGGATCTGAATAAGTCTGTATCATATAGTGCTTTTGCGAGAGATTGACTGTGCACACTTGACTTGCATCTCTCAAACTCGATTCAGTTATCTAATAAAATTGCTGTGAATTCTACATGTGGAGGCTCTTCTCTTTTCCCATTAACCTACAAACCCATGAAAGATTTTCAATATCTGTATTGTTATAGCACTATGGTTCATTGACTCATTCTGTGACAATTTGTTTGGTGCTTGAAGCAAAATCTGGTTGGAACACTTTTCACTGATTATTGCCCTTTAGCTGATATAATGCTCAAATGGTTCTGATGTCAACGGATCTTTATGTTTAATGATATCTTCTCGACTTGTTTAAGTTTTAAGCAAGATAGGGGCAGTCGAAACTAGAGAAAGTGCTTCTAACAATGTTTCATAACTCATCATTTCCATCATCCCTCATAGGTCAGAGGTTCATCAAGATTGCAAAGTCTCCAATGTCTCCACCCCTAACTTTCCCTTTTATCATAACCTCATCCTGAATTTCATTGCCAAGTGACAATTGAAAAGAACCAAGTGGAAATGAGATCAATGAGAATCACCGTCAAGGTTTCTGTTAGTCCCTAGGAAGAACGGTACTAACATAAACAGCGCCTTCTCTTCAATTAAAAATCTAGATGGACATAAGTTAGAAGCTCAAGTACTCTCAAAACACTTTACTCTTTGTTTTCTCTAAAACATTTTGAACTGATAGTTGCAAATTCAATATCATTGCCTCTATGATGTTAATGACTTATCTCCCAGATTCATTGTCTGAAATTTACCAAGGATGCTACGAGAAGTTGATGTTTTTAGTGTATTATATTCTATTATTAAGCCTAAGATATACTCCATACTAGGTTTCTCTTTAGCTTTGTTGTTTTTTGGTTGTTTGACTTTATGACATTAATGCAGGACACGGTGATATTATCAGCTATTTTTGGAAAATGAGCAACGTGAATGGGACTGCTAAAAATCTCAGGCTTGTCATGCATATACGAGACTTATGCTGAATTGGTGGTTTCCTGTTGTTAATGGTCGGTTAATGAGGAAATAGTTCATTAATTTCGAATTATGATTTGGATTCTCATTTCATGTTCAATTTTAACATTTGAAATTACAGTGAATATTTTTCCTATTTCATGAGAATCCATGATTATTCTACCATTTTCTTTTTTATCAGGTTATATTAAGCGGATAGCTTAGAACTAACCAACCAAACATGGAAGATGGAAAAGATATCAAAGCTGCGGATGATTTTTGTGGAGAGGAATTGTTTGCCTAGTTTCTTAGTGATAAAAATGTTTGGAAAGTACGGGTAGGACGTTATGTTGATTCATTATAATGCTGGAACAAGGTTGCCACCAATTTGATCGTTCTCCAGCCAGCACCTAATTGATACAATGATGTCTATGACATTTACCTATATCGATTGAAGTTCTACAGGTTATGGAATATGTTTTGATTTTGATTTTTTTTCTTTTAATATATCTGTGAGTGTCTAAGTCCACTTGCACGCAACTCGACTAATCTACGAGACAACTGCCCAACCCTACTACATTTGGTTGTAAAAAAAATGGTATCTACCATAAATTGAACTAGTTCTCTCTAAGTTTTCTGGTCCTTGCAACTCTTGATGGTTATAGCCACAAACATTTTGAGATTGAACCTTGCATGCTTTAACAAAAATTCTGTTGATGCATCGACGATTGTGGTAGACTAAAGTTTCAAAGATTGCAAAACACTAGATCTCGGAACTCTTGGAACACAATGGCTATTAAAACAATGGAACTGTGGTATGTTCTAAATATGGAGAATAAACATTTCTATGGACTAACATATTTTATTGTCACGTGAATGTTTCATTAATCCAAACTTTCAAGTACTGCAAGCTGTGGAAGGAAAAAAGAAAAAGTTAACCTGAAGGTTTGTAATCAAATGTTATATCCTGTCCTAAGACTTGGTCTACTTCAGGAAAAATGAAAATTTGGAGTTGATTTATGTTTTTACATTTCAGGGTTTTCTATCAAGGAAGATGGCTTGCTGGAAACCAGAGCAGGTTCTCTAGAACCTTTTTGTGGGCATTTTTGCAAGTGGATGGTTGAAAGAAAGCAATCTTGATGCTGTCAAATTAAGGAAGGTTGTTTGCTAAAACACTTCTCATTTTAAATTGCAGATATGTTTCCCAGTAACTTATGCTCTTTCTAGTAGATTCTCCATTCCCATTAGTTTATTTTAGTGTAGATGATTTAACTAATCCTACCCACTTTGTATTTTATATTTTAAAACCTGATCGAGATCCACCAATTATCTTGAACTTTGAGAAACAAGGAATAAATAATGCAGCAACTTATCGAATCCTTCGACAGAGAAAAGGAATATTGGCCCTGCAATTGTCACAAACGAGAACCAACCAAGGAACATAAAAGAAACAAATCAAAGAAAAGAAAAGAAAAGAAAAGCTGTAGAAACATAGAAACATGAAGCCAGCCAGTTAGAAACAGATGTTTTCACCTTGAAATTGTCCTTTACAAATAAAATCCTGATTTTACCTTCCGTAATTCCTGTCTTTGTTGGTTGTCAAATTTACCACGTGTTAGTTATATAAGGTTAAGTTATATTATTGGCTGTCTCTTGACCATACTTTGCTTTGGACATAATATCAAAAAGAAAACAAAATGTGCTTTTTATGATGATAAGATTCATGTTGGGTGGAGTGACAATGCCATCAAAACACAAACCTTTTAGTTCAACCCAAAACCTTCAAATGGAAGAATGAAACACAAATATTAACCAAAAGCCCTACCTGCTGTTCTCTGTATCATTGCTTTTTAAAAACTATGATAAGATTCATCTCTCGGAATAAAATCATATTTAGATTGAATTCTGGAAACCCTTCAAAAGGAAGAGTGGGGTAAAATTCTCAGCCAATTACTTCCCTGTCCCACATACCTACCTACTAAAGATGTAGAACAGCTTATATCTTTTTCTTTTAGTTCTTCATGATTTTGTTTTCTTTTCTTTGGGTAATAAACCAATAGAAGGTTAAAGAAAGGGGGGTGGGGGGAAAGCAATGCATAGAAGAAAAGGACTGGAAAGTAGAAACTGGGGTGATTTTGTTTTAGCCCAAGTAGACATAAAAGTACTTGAAATCTTCCTCCACTGCTTTATTTTAACAAGAAAAAGGTTGGTTTGTAGCTGTGGGGAGTCCAAACATTTGACATTTTCTGTTCCTCAAACTTTTTTAAGGATTCATTCTCTTTTCTGCCTTTTTTTTTTCTTCCCATTTGGACTCATTATCCTTTCTCTTTCTCTCTCTTGCAGATTGTGTTCTATTTGACATGTGACCCATTGACCCCGCCAGCAACTGAGGTATTTTTTATGCTTTTAAAAGAATTGCAAATTGGTATTCAAATTTGGTACTTCTTTTTTTGTTTTTCCAATGAATGTCTGAACACGTTTAGCTTTTAAGTACAGAAATGATCCGATGCTGTTTGCAATAAATTAATGAGGCATTTAGTCACTAATACATTGGACTTAGCTTTTCTTTATTATTAACTTTCAGACATCTTAATCTCCTCGAAATGTTTTGTCGCTTTATATTATATTGTTAAAAATATACGATGCCCCTTTTATATTTTATTTTATTTTATTTGTGGTATCATGTTCAGTGCACTCACGCATTTTATTTTGATAGTTATAATGTTCGATCTTTAAGAAAATGTCAAATTTATCTTTAACTTTCTCTAACTTTAAATTATAAAGATTAGCTTTTAAATTTGAACCTAGTATTTTTTTTTTTTAATTCACTATTTAATGTATTACACGTACAAAGATTTTGTATGCTTTAAAAATGTTTAAATTATTTGCTTGATATTTGTCGCTAACTCTCGACTTTATCCATCGGAATTGAATTGATGGATTTGTTATGATATACAGTTGTGATTCATGTGAAGGTTATCTCTACAATAATATGCTTTTCTAGAAAATTCAAATAAAAAAATCCTGAAAAGATTTGAGCCATAAGATTAGTAATTTTGAGTTATTTTATTGGATAATCTCTTGATTTTGGTAATGGCCAGTTGTTGTTCTTAATTCTATTTAATATTCCTCTTGTTTTTTTTCGAGGTTTCTTTATTTTAATTGCTTCTCTCGTGGTTGAGAGGCATCATTATTTGGATTTTTTTTATTATTATTATTACAAAGGTTTCTCAATAATTTGTGCCTACTATGATTTTTTGATTCGATTCGGAGAAGTGCACCGGTCCTAATTTTCTACTGAAATAGAATCGCTACTATATGCATGACATGACATTTCTATTTGGAAACATTCATTTAAAACAACTTTATGAAACGAATGCAATTACTCTAATGTAGGTTTTATGGTCTTCAATGCGACGTCGTCACCCGTACTGGGGTGCCTTGCCTTTATCTAAAATATAAGAGTAGCATAG